ACCTCAAAGTGACCAATTGGTTGGTGCGCTTTGAACAGGACATCAGTGACACCACTGATCTCAATACTAATCTCATCGATATATTAGCAAAACAACAGAAAGTGATAGAAGAAGGTCTGGAAAATGCAAAAATGATAACCACTCTCATCAAGGACTGCATTGCACTGCATCTGCAAAGCGGGCGTCCGATGGCTAAACACGACTTACTGGCCATTTGTAAAGCTATTTGTATTCTTAAAGGCATTCAATTGGCATTTCATCATAAGAAAGGTGCTTTGATTCCCATTATCGGCCATTTGGCTCAATATAACTGCTGTGTTGTCCTCAAAATGTTGAGTAACACTAAAACCAAAATCATAGCCGACGTCAAGAAATATTCCGAGAAAAAGTTGGATCTCCTGTCGGCTGTGATTCTGGCCTCCAATTGTCTAAACGGTCCGATTCTGACGAATCCGCGAAGAATATTGACGTCTATTTGTTTGTCTATTATCTCAACGGCGCTGAGCGCTGAAGATATCGCCAAACTATTGATGTTAACGAGAAAACTAGAATTATTTACAAAAATTCACGCATTGGTCGACATTCGCACGAATTGTGAGTTTCTATACTTTAATCGCGCGGTTCTCGGCATTTATTTCAACAACTTCTTCGAGAGTGAGTCGAGTAATGTTCATGAGTTGAGACACTTCTTCAGCGCTTTGTCCGATTCGTTCACTTTTATTAATAAATGCAAAGACGACGAGAAGAGAGAGCTTTTGACCAAACAGTTTGAAACGGAAACGTATGAACAGTTCAAAAGTGACTTTTTAGACAGAATTTGTACGGAATTTGAAACTGAATTAAGACTTCAAGTCCACTCAGATCTACAACTTGACGATCAAAGTCCGTTCAAAAGACATTTGCATGACTTCAGCGCACTGTTAACCTCAGAACCGATTCGTTTCAATGATAGGTTGATATCTATCAAGAGTTATGTCGAGGAATACCTGAACGAAATGGCATACAATCTGACGACTATAGCACTACACGACTGGAAAACATACGAATCGATGTTGAATTTGGCGAAAACCAAGTATGGCTTGGAGTTCGTGAGGTCTCAACTGCCGACCCAGACATTAGAACAGGGATTGGATGTGTTGGAGATCACCCGCAATATTCATGTATTTGTTTCGAGATATTTATATAATTTAAATAATCAGATGTTTATCGAGAAGTCATCGAATAATAAACATTTAAATGTATTGCTTATAAGACATGTGGCAAACTCTATACAAACCCACGGCTTTGGTATTATCAACACTACAGTGAACTTCACGTATCAGTTCCTACGCAAGAAATTCTATATATTCTCGCAATTCCTATATGAAGAGCACATAAAGTCGCGACTCATTAAGGATTTGAGATATTTTCGAGAATCAGAAGCCAATAAGTTTCCCTTTGAAAGGGCAGAGAAGTTATGCAAAGGAATTCGCAAATTAGGACTCACTGCTGATGGCATGTCATACTTGGACCAATTTAGACAATTGATTAGTCAAATCGGGAATGTCTTGGGATTCGTGCGGATGTTGAGGAGTGGAGCCCTTCACTGCAGTTCCAATTCCGTGAACTTTGTGCCAGATTTGGATGATTTGACTGAAGTGTCATTCGAGACGATGACAAGCGATGAGAGTCTGAGCGCCGACACAGTGACCGCCGGCCAGAACTTGGACTCAATTCTGTCCACTTTGAACCGAAACTTCACAGAATCGACCGATTATTTCAAACTATTGGTCGACGTGTTTGCGCAGACATTTCGGGACTCGAAGAACTATCACCTGAAGAACTTTTATGCAATACTTCCGGCGACGACCTATAACTTTGTCGAGCACTTGATTATCAGCAAAGAGAAGATGACCCGCAAGAACAAAGTGGGCGCCGCCTTCACGGACGACGGCTTCGCTATGGGCGTCGCCTATATCCTCAAACTCCTCAATCAGTTCAATGATTTCGATTCACTTCATTGGTTTAGTTCTGTGTCCGAGAAAATCAAGACAGAGATCAATGAAGCCAACCGTCAGAGCGCTCTCAACGCCAACAGTGACGTCAAGTTAACACAAACCACGAGTTTAACGATCAAGAGATTAGAGAACCTCCAGAAGGAGTTCCACCTCTTGGAGTACAGTCTCACCAGTTCTCGCATTCTATTCAAAGCCACTCCAGAATCAGTCAATTAATTTGATTTTAGTATTAATTAATATATATTTTATTATTTTAATAAACATTTATATAATTTTTAAGTAATAATATTTGAATAAACATACAGTATAAAAACAGTTAACTTTCAGTAATACTATTTCATAATGTGATTGACCAGTTATTAAAATGATTAACAAATACTGATCAAACAGTTTAGTAACAATAAACAATTGAATTAAAGGTAAACAATAAGCTCTAAAATAATGCCAAATATAATAAATTGAGATTAAAGTTAAGAGAATAGTAGTAATAAATGCTCTGATTTTGCGATGATAAAAATTTGTAATACTATTTGTACCGGTAATAATATTACAACTTAGTACCGGTACAGTATTGATATAATAATTTCAGATCTAAAAACAAATCCAATACTGATTTCTGTATTTAAAAAAATATTTTCAATCAAAAACAAACCCAATTCCAGCAAAAAGTTTTAAAAACACTGAATTAAAGCGAATTTCTGGTCCAACTGTTAATNACCCGAGTCTGACAATTATAATATGAGTAGACAATTATCGTATTACTAGCCTATTATTTTACCAAGATTATTTAGTCATCGCATATTTCCGATAATATTACTGCTGTACTGTATATTCTAACAGAATGTCCAAAGTTTTGAGTCCAAAGGATCTTTAAATATACAGTAGAAACAGATATTATTAAATATACAGTATTGTTTAGCCTGATACATGTACAGTATGTGTGCTATATTTATGAATATTTATGATATTAAACCAGTGAAACAGTATCCAATTACAAATCAACATTCATTTTAACTGAAAGTTTGTAATATCAGAATTTAGAGAGAAAACATTTCAGTGAATATACTTAATTAGAAAAAGTTGTTTTACCAAACACATAAGTTAGTATTCTTTATACCGGGATAATATTTGTACAACTTATCAATGTAAAGAATCAACTTACTGTATTTATACAATATTTTTATTCTGAAAACCGGTTTCATATGCAATACCAAAATAATGTATAATAATAGACATGAAAACAATGAATACAAATGTATTGCAATTATTGTGTCAGAAAGTCAAGAATATAAGTCTTATAAGAGTCCTATAATAAGCACAGAATCGCAGAATCTGTGATTCAATTAAACTTCATATGACTTACAATAGAGAGCGACAGAGAGAGAAATGATGAATAAATTAATGGTAAAGCACTGGATGTGAGAAAAACGTGATTTACTTGACTTTGATATTCAATATTTAATATCAATTCAATAGTAATCCGATTCCCAATGAGATTACAATAACAATATTAATGCAGTTTTATGTGAAGTTATCTGAAAGCAAACACCAATTGTTTGGACAAACAGTGAGACATTGAGTATACATAGAGTTGTATTGAGTGAACACAACACAGAATCGCTGTATTCATCGCTGCCTTCAACTGAAAGCTATTATAAAAGAGTTATAAATTTTGTGGTCATTTGTGTCTCAACTGAATCCTAAGCGATGCCTAACATCCAAGAAGGGGTTAAACTGGACTTCAAAGACGTCTTATTAAGACCCAAACGGTCGACACTCAAGAGTCGTTCAGATGTAAGAATAATAGTGTTTATTGTATACAATATGTTAATGCATTGGTTTGGATGTCACCCGAAGGTTGATCTGAACAGAACCTATCACTTCAAGAGGTCGGGTCACGAATACACAGGCATTCCGTTGATTGCGGCCAATATGGACACAATCGGCACCTTTGAGATGGCATTGGCTCTCAATAAACACAACTGTTTTACGGCTATTCATAAGCACTACTCACTCGAGGAATGGATGGATTTCGCCACTAATAATCCATCCGTTTTGAAGGTTAGTCATTATGTCCACCATTTGATTGGCAAACAATTTATTGATATATTTTGATGCCAAGAATGTTGCGGTCAGTTCCGGCAGTCAAAGCGCGGACTTCGAGAATATGAAACTAATTTTAAAGAATATTCCGGATCTCAAGTTCATATGTCTGGATGTGGCGAACGGCTATTCCGAGCATTTCGTTGAGTTTGTCAAACAGGTTCGGCAGGCATTCCCATCGCACACTATAATGGCCGGTAATGTCGTGACGGGAGAGATGGTCGAGGAGTTGATCCTTGCGGGCGCCGACATCATCAAAGTAGGCATCGGTCCCGGGTCTGTGTGCACCACTCGTAAGAAGACTGGCGTCGGTTACCCCCAGTTGTCGGCAGTTCTCGAGTGTATGGACGCCGCCCACGGACTGGGAGGGCATATCATATCGGACGGCGGGTGCACGTGTCCGGGCGATGTGTGCAAGGCTTTCGGAGCGGGCGCTGACTTCGTGATGTTGGGCGGTATGCTCTCCGGTCACGACCAGTGCGGCGGAGAGATTGTCACGAAAGCTGACGGACGGCGAGTGAAACAGTTTTATGGCATGAGTTCTTCCACAGCGATGAACAAACATCACGGAGGGGTCGCTGAGTACAGGGCCTCCGAGGGCAAGACAGTGGAGGTGACCTATAGAGGGGACGTGGAGCGCACTTTGCAGGACATATTGGGTGGTCTGCGGTCCGCCTGCACCTACACCGGCGCCTCCAAACTCAAAGAACTGCCACT